TTAAATGATTTCAGAAATTGATTCCACTATGTTGTTTTTAGTACATTTTGCCCCTGATGGATTGGTTCATAGGTGATGGGCTGTTGGGAAGCAGGATTGGTTAGAGGAGGCCATAAGAGGCATATTTTTGAAGGGTCTGTCTTGCCTCTGGTCTCCTCCATCTCTCTGCTTTCTGTCCACAGTCAGATGAGCAGCTTTCCTCCACAGTTACTTCCCTCCACACTGCTCTGCACAAGTCCAAAAACACAGAACCTAGTTCCCAGGAATAGCAGCTTCTAAAGACATGAGCCCAGTGACCAGAAATTACATACTCTGAACAAATGAGCCAAAATAATTGTGCACTCACTCCCTTAAGCTATCTTGCTTGGGTGTTTTGTCACTGTGACAGAAAGCTGACTAACAAAGCTCCTGACTAAAATACCAAGCCGTGGGCGTTCTTTTTTGTTGTACACATATATAGATCATGTGATCTGAGAGAATCCTTCTTCCTGTATAACCTTCCTCTATTGGCTTCAGTTCGAGCTGAAATGTTAGTGATTCCCTAAACTCCAAGTAACTAATCTCTATCTGATGATTGCACCTGGGTGCCTTCTTCATACCTCAAACTCGCTGGGACTAAAATCGCTTTCCTGTCTTACTGATGATCCCAAACGCAGCCAACTACTTGAGCATCCAGCCTGTCAGCAAAGAGTGCCTTAGCGATTGTGCATCCTCTTGCACCGTGCTGCTTCATCCTCGTCTTTTCAGCAGACTGCTGAAGTAGCCTGAAGATGGGTCTTCCTACTTTTTTTTCTCCATGACAATCCATTTTCTGTACTTGCTTTTTAAGAAATTTTTCTGAATTTCATGTATTATTATTTCAAAGGTAGCATTTCTTGTTATGGAAGATTTGTAGTAACTTAAGAACCTCAGCCATCTAGTCTTGCCCTCTGCCTTCCTCTCCTCTCTTGTCTCATCCCCTGTTTTTCTTTCTTGACTCTCAGCTGTCTGCTGGACACCTCCAAAGATGGCACACGTTTGTGTATCGTGTGTGCCTCTGTTCATGCTGCTTGCTTGCCCTGTTATCCGTTTCTAGCTTCCCATATCCCAGTGCACACTCTGTGTGCTCCTTCCTAGCCAGCTAGGATGCTAGCTTGTGAGTATCATTTTGTTCATTTTCTTGTCTATAGTGCTTGATCCATAAGAAATCTAAATAAATATTTTAATAAGGGTTTTCTCTGCAGTTCCCTGGCAGCCTCACCTGAGGAAATGGGTAACTATAAATTATGAAAAAGTCGTTTTCTATAGCCCCAATCTTATACCTCCAGCCCAAAATCAGACATAAAAGAAAACAGACAGTAAAAAGAATCAGGACGAGACTCACTCCAGTCATACCCTGTCTTCCTAGCTGTCTGTCAGGCTTTCAGCAGCAGCCTTCTCTGGCCATAATGCTCTGTGAGGTTATTTAATAATGTCACTACTTCTCAGTAGGTCAGCCGACCTGATGTAGACATAGAAGAATATATATCCTGTGACATCAGAAAAAGGAGTGACCGGTTGCTTTCAAATGAAGGTTTCTAAAGGAGAAGGTTATTATGTAGCACAGATTAGTGTTATATATTTTTCCATGTTAATTGTGTCAACTTACCACCAAAGAAAGATTGTTTTAGACCCTACATCATCTACTTCAGAAGTCAGTTTTTCTGTAAAATACTCTGTGAGGGTTTCCTTTTCAAGACAAAATTGTATCACTGTAAGAAAGACTATTTAGGTGTCTTAATTTTTTTTATTTTTATTTTTTTACAATGGAATGCCTAGTTCCTTAACAATGCCATATAATGGTTCTCCAGAACCACAGGCCTGTTCTTCACAAATTTTATACATTGAAAACATAAAAGTTTGTTAAAAGAGAATTTTCTTCTTTCCCAGAGCTTAACTTATTGCCATAATGTAACTTTTATTACCTGGCAGTTTGCTCCCAGCAAAAGAAGGAGAAGACATCCACAGGAGGGTCTTAATGAAAGAGATTAAGTCCTGCTAGCTGTTTGCTTTCCATGAGGGGTTGCTGCTCTGGGCTTCAGGTGGCCAAACCCTCGGAGTGCTGTGGTCTTAGTCCTGCCCACCAGCTTGTCATGGTCTCCATCAGTGAGGCAGGTAGATTTGACAAGTGCACAGTCTATAATGGCAAAAGGGATAGACTATCTGGAGTGGGTCATGAAACACTTTCTGAAATCAAATACCAAATTCTGTTTTTCAAGTCGTGTGGTGTAGAACTTTAGAAATGGGGAAGATTAACGTGCTGAACTTGAGGCCGTATCTTAAGAACATGAAGTGGGGCTGGAGAGCTGGCTCCGCAGTTAGACACACTTGTTGCTCTTGCAGAGGACGTGAGTTCAGTTCCCAGGGCTGACATGAGGTCACCCACTCCAGCTCCAGGGCATTCTCAGCCTCTAACCTCTAAGGGCACAGGAGTTCATGTGCACATATTCACATATAGATACATAATTTAAAGTAATAAAAATGAGTCTTAAAGAAAACACTGAAGTAGAATTGGATTTCATAGACGCCCCTGGGTCCATCAGTCTCAAGAAATGTGGCCCCGTGTCCGTGCTGGCTCTTTAGAACTTTGTCACGTTTGTATCCTGCACAGTTCTTAGCTTCCTTGTGCAGATTTCTTATCCCCGCGGTGACTTGAACAGAGCTAAGCACAGAACAATGTGTGATTAATGCCCAGTTTTAAACTAATGGAGAGCCCATATACTACTGTGAACCGTATGCAAATGTAAGTTGTAGCATAATTTAAAAGCTAGGTCCACTGAGTATTCAGGGGACTGAGGCAGGAGGATTTTGAGTTTGAGGCTAGCCTAAAGTATAGAAGTTCAAGGCCAGCCTTGGGTATAGAAGTTTAAGGCCAACCTGGGGCTCTACAGAAGGACTCTTCCTTTAAAACATAAAATAAAAAAATAACAAAACCTGAAAGGTGTTTTTGCTGTGGAGTGAGGCAGGGCTGCTTACTCACGGGCCGGTGCTCTCCCAGCCCTGGGCGAGATGTCCACCATGAGCTGAATGCCCTCCCAAAGCGTTGCTCTTCCCCAGCATATTTTTGTAACTTTGTCTTGTGACTCATTCTCGATATCCTCAGAACCTTTTTTTGGCTGAGAGTGGATTTGATTTGGAGAAGCAGGTAGTGTGAGTAAAGCGGAGGACTGGTGAGAAGTGCTATTTTCAGCCTACTATTTTGGGTAACTTAAGTAATAAGAATGTTTTCTAGCTTTGACTCATAAAACAACTGGAGAATTGTCTTCTAAAAAAGATAAGCTGCGGATTTTGTCACTTTCAAACTAGTCTTCCTGCTCTCATATAATGGTTTTGCTCCAGAATATTGGCTCCTGAAAGTTCACACCTGCTTTGCCTGGCTCTCAGGGCCTCTACCTGCCTGACCTGCATCCTACCACCTAGCCCTCTTCAGAGACATTCAGTTTTGGCATTTCCTCACTTCAGTAAGGCATCTTGCTGAGGATCAGTCAAGTCTGTCCTTCTGGGGGAGTCTCCATTCCTCATGTGCCTTGGAGTTTATGGTGGGATTCCTTTCTTTCTGGAGCAGATCTGTTCTGAAAAACAATGTTATTCCCCGGAAACCCATGGGCATACCATGGGAGCTGCTCAGGTGCTCCCTGTAATGTCTGTCACACAGTGAGGCTGTGCTGGCCTGGGTCCCAGCAGCCCTCCTGTACACACCGTTGTGCCTCATCTCGAGGCTTCAAGAGGCAGGTGAAACAGTTCTTTACCTACTCATCAAGGTGTGGATGATAGCAATCTTCATTGTTTAACAGGGGCTTTTTCTTCATTAAAAACTACCTACTTTCTACTAATACTATGCTAAGGAAAGGCAGAGTTTTAGGAGTTTTTTACCTTATTTATGTAGGAAATGGGGAGCACCTACGTGCCACAGCACTTACATGACACAGCACTACAAAGGAGTTGGGTTTCTTCGTCCGCCATATCCATTCCAGGAATGGAACTCACACCATCAAGCTCTGCTGGAAATGCCTTTACCCACTTATGGGTCCAGTGTAGAGTTAATTTTAGATGTTGACAGGGTAAAAACTCATTGGGTGGATGGGGGTACAGAGCCTCCTGTGGCACTCATGACACTCCTGGTTGCTTCTTAGGTGATAACCCCCAACTGTTGGCAAATAGACAAATATTGGTAAGCCCAGGGTGCCGTAGAGCATTTCATGTAGCAGTGCAGATCCTCCTGCGTAGATGCCCTGAGTCCTCTTTCCTGCTATTACAACGAAAAGCAGTAAGAAATGTGCTGTCGTCCCCTGAAGCCAGCATAGTCGAACTGTAATGCATCTGCTGAAACCTCACAGCAGTTTCATTCTCAGATTGGCCATATCTGGAGCAGAACTTACACAGTGCTGTTTGACTCAGCTTCTGGCTTCTTTTGAATAACAGTTGGGGGCTTTGGGGGGGGAGGAGGGTTCTTAATGAAAATAGTGTCATAGTACTATTTAGCAAAACACTTGGTAAAGTGCTCTAGTGTAATTTTCTGTTTGTGCTGAGATTTGAGACATTTGGTAAAGTGAAGTATGAGACTGCCGAAGGAGCCTGTATTCAGTCTGGCCTGTCCTTGATCTGCTGGCATGGGTTTACAGCACTGGGTAGCTTGCAAGGCACAGGTCCTGGAAAGCTGCCCAGTGCATCACACAGATGGCTGCTTTTGCCATGGCGCATTTGTCTCTGGGCCTTCTTCAAAGGGTTTCTTCATCTGATGTCTTTGTCATTTGCTCTTCCCTGACAGCTCAGCCATTTGCTGTAAACTACTTGAGGTTTCTGCAGGGTGTAACCTGTAGCTTTTTCAGGGAGAGAATTCCTGCTTTAATTGTTGATTATATTTTAAAGATGATGTAAAGAATTTCCCAAAATATTTATTCTAAAATTCATTAAGCTTCAGTATATTCTGAATGATTTTACAGTTTTAATTTCTTTGTTGTTTTTTTTTTTTCTGCATCTAGTTAAAAAATCTAAGTTTAGAAGAACTACAAATGCGACTGAAAGCATTGGACCCCATGATGGAACGAGAAATAGAAGAACTGCATCAAAGATACAGTGCAAAAAGGCAGCCCATCCTGGATGCCATGGATGCAAAGAAGAGGAGACAGCAGAATTTCTGACCAGACGTCCTCTGACTCAGCATGACTGGAGACCAAGTAGCCATAAGATCTGAAGGAATTGTACTACTTTTTTTTACCCCTAAAATGTATATTTTACAATTTTGCAAAAGTCAAAAATGATGGTACACACCTAGCTAAATATCACGAAGGCAAACTTTACAGCCCATTCCGACTTCTTTTTGAAGGAAGAGAGCAGTAGAAGTGTGCTCTTCTTTTCTGCCAGCTGTTACACCAGCAACAAAACCATTCTAAAATTAAAACTATATTTGGAGACTTTGGAAATCCAAAGCTGTTGCTTAATCATACAGCACTGGAGGGCTTTGTGTTACAATATTATTCCTGTGGAGAAGCCTATTTATTGTGCCCTCTAGGTAGACTTATTTATTTATGCAGTTTCACTTTTTGTTTTTGAAGACAAGATCCGGATAGTTTTGGTGAATGTCCAGACGCATTGCAGATGATAACATACAAGCAAATTGTACATTAAGCAGGAAGCTATGGGTGCATTCCTTCATCTTCAGTAGAAACAAACAGTGAAAGCAATAATGTCCAAATGGACCAGACATTTTTATACTAAAGACTTAAGTCCATTTCTGCCTTGTGAAGTGTTAATTCTTGATTTTTTTATATTGGTACAAATAAAACTATATATACATAGGTCAAACAGGATTATACAGTGTAAAACCAAAGAAATCAATGAATCCTTGCACACACATACAAAAAAAGTGTGGGAAATATTTTTAAAGACGTGAAACCTGAGAAGATAATGTAATTGTTTTTCTTTTATTGGTCTAATCTCATCAAATTTATTCTTTGAAAATATGCTTTTTGTTGATTTTATTTATTTATTGGGAATTGATAAGCATCATGCATCTGACAATAGCAAAACAGTAAAAACATTTGTACTAAACTGTGAGTCCTTAGGGCCTAGAAGAAAATATGAAAGCATTAGAAAGAGACTCATTGCTGAGCACAGTTGGCATTTGTGTAAGTGAGCTGGGGCCAGTCATTTCCTGCGCTAACATGGCCGTGTTGACAGTGTGTGTTCTTTTGTGTGTGGTTACTCTGTGTACATCGTAACGACAGATAAATCCCACTGCACCCCAGCACATTTCATCTTTGTTGTGTTGATCTTAAGCTCCTGGGCTCTGTGTGTCCTGAGCAAGGAAGTGTTCCCAGGCAGGACAAGCTGGACCTGAAACCTCAGTGGCTTTACCAGGTCACGGTGTTCCTCTCATGCCCCACGCCAGCCTTCACCAGCAGGAGTCTCCACTGTTCATCCCACGGAGGGGTGTGTGTGTGTGTGTGTGTGTGTGTGTGTGTGTGTGTGTGTGTGTGTGTGT